CTATGAGTCGGGTCTGACTCGACAGCACATAACAACAACAACAACATGCTGAGTGAAATAAGTCAATCACAAAAGGACAAATATGGTATTAGTCCGTTATTGTAATAGTCAAGGAAACACTTATCTATGGAAGACCATTTTCTTTGTTGGTAACCAGGGATGGGAAGGGAGGGGAGGGAATACTGTTAGATAGATAGAGATAAGTTTTGATTTGGTGAAGAAAAGGGCAATGTACCAAATGTGAATATTTGATCAATATAGTGGCATTGAGGAAGAGAAAGACATAGAGAGGTAAGTGGAAAGTACAGACAACAAAGATGAACCCTTTTGCGCATATAGTATGGCGTAGTCAGTGAAGGCAAACATGGGTATATGGGTGGATAGATGGGTGGACAGGCTGAAATATTAGGTATGTATATGAAGTGGTGAGTGCACCCAAGAACATGTATAAGATTGGCAGAAATTGGTCCAATAACTTTATGTGTATGATCTGAATTCCCAGGTGTATAATGGGGCTGACAAGGGGCAAGGTTGTAGTCACTGCTTGGTCACAGCCAGCTACCCAGAGGGACCAAGCAGTTGAACCCGTGGGCTCAGAATCATAGTCACAGAGGACATCAAGCTCAATTGGCATAACATACTACACAAAACATTGTTCCACCTCCTACTGTGGCAAATAGCGACTGAGATATTAAAAGCTTGCAAGCTGCCATCTAGATACAACAATGGGTCTCTCCTTGTCCAGAGCCAAGAAGAATGAAGAAAACCAAATATTCATGGAAACAATTTGTCCTAGCGACTGGTACACCATCCCATCTGCAGCCTATACAACTGTGAGACCAGAAGAAATAGATGGTGCTCGACTACTACTGTCAACCACTTGGAAGAGGATCTTTATAGGAGATCCTGGATAGACAGGGAGAACAATGTGGACAAAACTCAAAATCATTTGGAAAAAAAAAAAAAAAAGCAGGTAACAGGTTTGCTGGCCCGAGGGAGCCTGGTGGAACCACTGAGACTAAGGCCCCTAGCTGCCCTTCAGGTCTGGAATTGAACGCACACCTGTGGCTTCCAGCCGAACAATAGACTGGCATATCAGTTGAGCATTTACCTGAGGTAGATACACTCCTTGGAGAGAATAAGCATGGAAGAATGAAGAGCTGTTTATGCACAGGGAGACAGCTCAGGGGGCAGGAGTGCATGGAGGGATGGACACAGGGAAGAGGTAACTATCAGGAGGA